GTCGGCGCTATATTCTTACGTTCTCTATTTATTTTTTATTTTCCTCGATTCACAGTTATTACTGCAATTCGCCTGAATTCTGGTGTATTCAGATTATGTAATGCGGCTAGGCACGCTCAGAATTCTGCAGCCCTCTGCAAATCGTTGAGACATACTATCTACATACAAACACATATAGTTATCAATGTATGTTTGTGTGTCTTCGAAGATAGAAATTACCAGGGGGTGGCTGTGAGCGACGGGGTTTAGGTTAGTTGTTGTTGAGCCAAACCCGTCCCTGCCGCGTTTTCGGCATTATCACTGAAATTAACCCAGTTTATATCAAACAGGCGGGAGGCGTCGCGTGTGTTTTGTTTAGGCGTCGGGACGCCGCCGCCGACAACACCACCGCTGCTGCTGCTACCTCCCCCAGCTCCGCTCCTCTTCTGTCCCCATTCACGTGCACATTCGCAGATTAAATTCCGGGACTTAATTCCGTGCAAATCCGATTTGGAATTTCTCTCCGTTTCGCATACGGCGAACAATGAACACGCCTCATTGGCTACACGATAAGTATTTTCTATTCAAATCAAAATAAAAAAGAAATTAACGTTTCAAATTACAGTAAAACGTAGACACATCTACGAGAAATATATATCAACAAAGGGTTAATTATTTTAGAAATCAAATTTTCTAAATAGATGAAGACAAAGTTGAATAATCGTTAACGCAAATATACTTCAGTGAATTCAATTTCATTGACAACCAACCAAGTAATCATTAGACATATCCTAGTATTCAGTATAGCTGGAGTAAATTGGTTTCAACTGGACGTAAATACCATTAGCCAATTAGTTTGAACTTCATGTTCATATCATAATTAAATATTAATTAATATCGTTTGATTTCTTAATAACACAAATTTATATAAACAAGAAACAAACAAAATATTTACTTAAATACATAATCTCGCAGTAATTAATTGAATTACAAAAACTTAAGTGCATTGAAAAAGTATTGAAATGTTTTATTTAATAAAGTAATTACAACATTTTATGTGTGAGGTATGATTTAAAATTATCATCAATATTCCAGTTAACAATATTTAAACTTTTAAATTAATGAATTGGCAATTGCAAACTTAGTCTAAGCACTCATGTGGTGCAAGTTAAAGGACTATTGCATAAGTTGACGCGAGTTGCACCGCCGAAACGTGATAATAAAGTTACTGAATGTAGTAAGTTCTAAATTCAAAATCAATATGTTAATAACTATTTGAAAACTATAAGATCGTACAACTATTGTAAGTTTGTTCATCTTATATTTTTTTATTCAATGATATTTAACATTATTCCAAAATTGAATTTCGTAATACATTTATAAAAATGTATATGATTTTGCTTTTTCTAAATTAAAATACACCTTTTCACTTACGTAAGACGTCCTTAAATAGCTTAATTCATAAATTTCATATACAATATACATTTTCGCATATATGTGTACTATAAATTATATTTATTATTTCAATTGCATTATTCAATTTCAAATGTATCTTTATTACTTGAGTAAAATTTTAACAGGTATAGTAATTGAAATTATAATATTAATCATGCAATTTTTCGTCCAGTTTCTGAAAGTAAACTATTAATTGTATTAAACTATTGTTTGTACCAAGTACATACAGTACATACATACAGTGTTGTATCTATTAAGCAATAGATAACCTTCTGGTCCCAAGTACTGATATTGTTTGTTTATCGCAAAATTTACTATGAAATGAATGTGCAAAACATACTGGAAACTGTTATTTCTATTTTCTTATATTATATGTATAATTTTATTTTCTATAACTTCTTATACATTTCTATACTAGTTTTATGATACCCTGTATTAAATCGATATAAATGTAGCATGCTAAAATTAATATAACCAGACTATGTGAATATTTTTTATAAATTTATGAAGCACTGGAAATGTCGTATTTTGTTTGATTTTTCTCTTCTATTATCTAAAAAGGAATTCTACATTTTTCCTTTGCAGTTTTAAGGCAATTTGACCCACTTCTAAAGATTCTGCTCGCTGAAGCATTGAATTATGTGACCCAGCATACGATTTTCATGGCCCCCGGGACCGCTCAAGCCCCCTTAGCTCATTAAACACTTCAAAGCATAGAACACTCCGCTTCGAACTTCAGAGATCAGAATGAAACGAGAGATAGATAGAAAAGGAAAACACAGAAACGCGATAATAAAATTCCTTCTCTTATCTTGTTTTTGTTTCCGCAGATGGATCAGTGATGCTCGGATCATTTGAAATAAACAGGCAGTAAGATACTGCTTTCAAGGATTTTAATTCGAATTGTTCTTGGTCCGCATTATGGAAGCAAGGTGGATGGCGAGGAAACAGCGTTCTTCAGGATATGCAAACTTGCAGACATAATTCGAACAGATTAAATCCGGAAGTGGGCAAAGTTTCATGGGAAAACTATCGCGGGTTGCTTTTAATTAAAATTCAGTCGCATCCTTTATCGTTCTTTTCTTTATTATTTTTTTTCTTCTGCTGCAATCTTGGTGTATTGTTTGTGGTTGGTTTGGCGGGGAAATGTGCGATTTATAATTTTAATTAGTTCCGGTCGAAAGCGGCGCCGCAAGCATAAATAATTAATAATAATTATTTAGTGCAGTTCGGCTAAGTTTTACCCGGTAAGAATTATTATGTCAGGCAATTACTACGTGCAGATTAGAGCTTATGCCTCTGTCTCTCTTTCTCGTCCGTTTTCTCTCTCTTTCTCTCTTGCATACAATGTATCTCCCAACTTCGGGCACGGCCCATTTGATTTTCCCAGCATGAAGATAAACTGCTCAATTATTTTCGGTCATTATTTCGGCCAAGCAGAACAACCCCAAATTTGATTACGTCGCTTCTTGTTTTGCAGCCAAATTTTTAATCAATTAATCTAATTGCGAAACACCTTATTACCAATCAGTAAAACGACCTGCAAAATATATTTTATTCCAGAAAGCATCATTTCTGCTGTTGTATTGAAGAAACTAATTTAGATGTGGATCTCAAAACATGGGCCTCCGCAATTATAAAATACAAAATAAACACGCTATGGATAAAGAAAATCTTTTGCGACGTGGGTGGAATGTCCTGAAATTCAATGGAGTACGAGAAACTCGATGAGGTGAACGTCCGACGCCGACTTGCGTTTTCGTTCACTCTCTTCTAAAAGCAATGAAAATGTTCTGTAATTAGCATTTTTTTGTATTTAAATTTGCGCCGCTTTATTAGCAAATAGCTTTGTTTTTTAAATTCTTATTCGCCGTTTATTGATTATGGCAGCTTATGTCTAATATAATAGAAATCACATGGCTAAATTCCGGGCCAGAACATAAAACCAAACCAACCTCAACACTCAAACTGAAACTCTACAGATATGTTCAATGAGTTTGCGAACTAATTATTTTTCACAAATCACTTTTTGCATACAATATTCCAAATATAATATAACGTTATCACATTCCTATTTATTTTTACGACTTTTTCCAAAAATATATGTAGTCTTTTCCCTACCCATCGCGACACGTCAATTTTACTTTTGATCTACGATATTTACTCTTATAATAATCAGTACAAAAATTGGGCCTCTGTGTTAGGAACAGCGTTCTTCAACTTTATTTGAGAACTGATTAAGATATTAGATAGAAATAAAAACATTGTTGACAAAAATTATGAAATTGAGTCACTAGTTTTATAACAATGGACATATCGGGCGGAAAGACTAAGGTCGTTAGCCCTTTATCAATGTTTTGACAAATAAATGTGTTTAAATAAATAAATTGGACCATAATCACGTAGCGGCCCAGTAGATCCGTTTACCACAGACCATGCTGAAGAACACTGATGTAGAATACCAAGATATCTAAACTGCAGTTGATTGGACAGTTTGAGAAGAATTAAAACAAACCTAGAAGAGCTCCAGTTTGTAATATTTTTAAGATAATATCCGACAGGATGTCTAACTTATTATGAATGGGAGTTAAAGACAGCAAAAAATAACTTTTTAAGGTCTGGTCACTTTGACCGGTAACGGTTTACTGTTAATAGTTTGTAAAAATTTCAATTTCAATATTTGACCGTCGGGCACTATCAAAACAAATCTACATCACTTGCAAAGTAATTTGAAAGTACTTGTGGGTACTAAAGGAATCTTAATCTTTAGTACACACAAGTACTTTCAAATTACTTTGCAAAGGGGTTTACATCAGGGGTCGGCAAAGTAATTTGAAAGTACTTGTGAGTACTAAAGGTTAAAATTCCTTTAGTACCCACAAGTACTTTTAAATTACTTTGCCGACCCCTTGATGTTTTTTCTTTTGATAGTGCCCGTCGGTCAAATATTTCAATATTAAGATAAAATATTAGTACATTAAATTAATGTAACCGTTTTGTTTTTACCAGTATTATGACTATTACTATGATATTTTTGTACATATTTTAATAATTTTAAAAATTCTAATCTGGCAACTTGTTTACTTGTATAATTATGTTTAATGAACCTATGCGAAGGCAACAACAAGTTATTTACCAAATGTACGCACTATTATACTTATCAATGTTGATAAAATAGAAAAGAAATAAACAAAAACTATAAATATCGGATCTTGTAATGAACTTATTCGTTATGGAAGGAAATAAAATGGCGGCTTGTTATGACATACATATATATTGAAGTGGGAGACTAATATATGTGTGAGGTGCCGATTTATCAATTTATTTAATTTATTGTTTGGATTTTTGAATTGAAATGTAAAACTAATGATTAACAGAAGATAATAAAAGAAGAGTAGAAACGAAAAGCAGTGTGTATGTATCTTTCTGTAACCGATGATGTGCTGAAAATCGTGTTGGCATGTTTTGTGGGCATTAAGATAACAGATCTATTGCTAGTAAAGCCTTTCTAAATTTATACGAGATATCCGTTGGAATCCGAAACGGGAAAAGTGGGAAATGCTCACCCTGTGGTCCTTGGGGCGGGTTTCCTGTCTGCGTGGCGGGCCACCTTCTTGATCAGCGTAAACCAGATTCCTAACGGCTCCCACGAAACGAGGCTCGAAGATGACGCTCGGTAATGCCAAAAGAGTTAACTTAGTGTTGTACCATGTGGGCATACCGCCGACAAAGACCTCGCTGTTGGTAGAGAATCGACCGAAGTTGAACTCCTTGCCCCGCGACGTTCGCAGCTGCGAAACGCCATCAACAGCAAGGATTGTGCGGTCCTCATGTCGCTGCACGTGAACCTTGTGCCAGTGACCATCATTTAGATCACGTCCAACGGTGAGAATCTGAGCGCCTCCGCCTAGATTGTATCTCAGTCTGAGTGCACCTTCTACCAGCTTGATCTCGAAGAAGTCGTAGGTACCCCCGTCGTCCGTATACAATAGCATGCCATTCGGTTGATCCGTCTTAAACTCAAACTCGAGACTTCCATTCGTTCCGCCGCCCCACTTGCGAAACTGAGAGTAAGAATTTGTTGAACCGTCCAAGAGGAAGCCCGAACTTCCAAGACCCAACGCCACCAGCATTCCACAGATCAGGAGGATCCACATCTTATCCGACGTAAAGTATTTTGGGTAATTTGTACTTGCCAAAACTTGTAGAAAGAGCGATTTATTCCTATCCGAACCGGCCCGATATTGATCCCAAAGCACGCACCGACCTCAAACTCATGTCTTAAACAAACCCGGAAGTCCTTCCACAACAAAACTTCACCAATAAACAAGAGCGTCCTATAACTGGAAAGGTAGAAGTATAAGGAATGTAATTGGGAGAAAGGGAGGAAGAGAACGACGGATCGTCGTGGAGACTGTCGCCAACTATTCTCAAAAGTCTTTCGTTAAACGGGATCGATTGAAGCGTTTCTTCGCGCGCCGGCCGAAAAAAAAAACCCGCTATGAAATACACAAGATTGATAGAGGTAAAAATCGAATCCGCAATATTATCAGATCTCTAGGATAAATTGATCTATTAATGAATGTATTAATAGATTATTGATATATCTCTTTTATCTCTAAGTGTCTGTGAGATGCAAATGGTGGTGGTTGCGAGGTTCGACTGTCTGGTGGCGGCTTCAGAACGCGCTAATACTTTCAACTGTATTGTAGAGAGGGGGAATCGGTGGGGGCGGCGGGCGCAAGTTGGTGGCGGGGGGCGCAGCCGCTCGTGATCCTCTCGTCCTGCGTGGTGGTCCTCACTACAACGGCTGCGGTGGCGTCACCATTTTTACTACGCCGCCCTCGCAAAACTCACAATACGACGGTATTCCAGTTGCCTCTGCGGCAATGGGGGGCGGCAGCGGGGAGATTAGCTCCAGCTGCAACGCGCGGGGGCGGTCAACGGTGACGTCACATTTTTTCTCCCACACAATCACCATCCACCCCCGCAAATACCATGAATATACAATAAGAACATTAATATCATTTTTTACTTTACTATTCACAGTTTCTTCTAATTGGGAATAAATTTCAATCCTATATTTAATCCTGAGTTATAGCATAATAATCCTCCTTTAATTATTGACGTAAATGAATGTATATTTAATCTATATGGTGTATACATCTTTTCATCGATCAATTATTAAAATGAATACACTGAATATATGAAAATATATATAAGATAGATTAGCAAAATGGTTTTGGTTTATATAACATTTTGATGCACATGAACGAATGCTCCAAAAAATTCTACGTCTTCTTTTGCGAAGCACCAACATACAACACTCATCGACCTTAATCAATTCATGTTACCATGAACAAAGTCATCAAAAAATAATTGCAATTTAAAATTCATATCTACTCCAACCTAATTTACTCGTACAGCTCGTTGCCATAATAGTAAAAATTAAACAGTTAATTCATCTTCATTTGCGGAATTGACATCGCAATTCGATTTTCAATACCCGGCACATCCACCAATTGTACAACACGATCAATATTTTTTTATTCATTTCAAATGGAACTGTCCATAATCATTTTGCGTCACAAAATGATCGACACTTGTTCATTTTTAAAATTAAATCATTGGCTGAAAGACCTAGCCTTTGTTCATAATTGCAGCCAATAAACATGTTTAAAGAATTAATATAACATTTTTACTTTTGTAATTAGTTAATTACTCAGTTTGATCTACATATATTTGTTAATTATTTATTGTCAATGTTCTAAGTTATTATTTAATTATTAATTTATTTTTTATATTTTTGTTGTTACAATTTGTTGGAAAGCAAGCAATGAAATTTGTCTGTTCCGTGATGGATTCGAGGTAATTTCTGCCATAATTTTTTCTGTTCTCGCGCCTTACACAAATTTATATAACGTACAGCGTATAGAAAAAAAAGCACTCAACGGAATAAGTTCTGGGTGAAGAAGTGATTTTCGATTTATCATTTATAACAATATATATACATTTCTTGCAAAATGTCCGACAATGTCGATAATTATTTTTATTTTATACCACGGTTGCGGGTTGCTTTCTTCAATATATTAAACGTGGTGCAAGCAAAGTAAATAAGGCCGCTTCGGCAGTAACAAATACGTTTTCGAAACTAACTAATGCGCATCCAGACACATTAATGAACAACGCTAGTTTGACACATGCAAGTTTCCGGAAGCCTAGGCCGCAGCGAACTTGATGCATGTACTCTTGTTTATTATTTGCAAAATAGTTTCGCCGCTTGCAGCAATTCAATTACAAGCGTGAAGGGTGGAAAAATTACGTCGGAAGACAGATTGCACGACGAACATTCGACTAAGCTTTCACTCAAATGAGTCATCATCTTTGCAAATATCTGAGGGCCAAAAAAAAAATAATGCGTACTTTGGGACTAATGTGCAGATCGTTTATTTATGTAATGTGCATTACTATATATACGCCCTCGGCATCGCGTTTCTTACTTTACGTAGCGCAGAGGCGTGTTTTAGTATTAGTAAGGGAATTACTAATAAATTGCAATCCGTGGTGGCTCCGGTTGGTCCCAAGCCCGGGTTGAGAAAGGGACTTCCCCTTTACATTAGTTACCTGATTCCTAAACCTTACAATTTATGTGCTAGAAATTTATACGTTTAGAGCATTATTTGGACAAGAATAAAAAAAAACTATTCCGTCAATCGTACAAACAAATATTAGATTTCTTCAACTTTGGTCAAAAGTTAAAATGAATAATTTTATTTATTAATTAAAAATCCTTTCATAAAATTTTCAATTATTTAGTTTGATCAGGGCGACTAATAGCCGAATGGTTAAGTCGCCCTAACCACGATCGAACGTCACTAGTTCGAATCCTGGTCAAAGCTAGGCCCTTTTGTGAGCCCTCTCTGTGCTTGCAGCAATAGGGCCATCGTTCATCACAGATGGACAATAAAATGAATGAGGTTCAGCATATGGACCCTTTCAACCAAGTCAATGGACAATGACAGTGTTAAGGATAGCAGCAGATTCACAGTCATAGGAAATAGTGGAATTACTATTGAAGTTAACCTACAAAACGGCAGCCAACCAACAAATTAAAAATCAAAATCATCATAATGGTAACTATCCACCGGGAAAGATTATCCATTTCATGTCAACCGCGATCTTATAGTTAATAGTTTATTACTTTCTTTTTGTTATTAGTGTGTTCAATAGGACAAGTATGCAATATCTACACAATACGCGATTTTACAAACTGTCGATAGCTATGGTTATGAATCCATAATTAATGCTTAACATACTAAAAAAATGATCTCTTCAGTATCGCTCTTGAAATAATGAAGAAAGAAATCATTTGTAGTCACTTGTGCACGTGGGCGACTAATAGCCGAATGGTTATGTCGCCCTACCAACGTACTAGTGGGCACAGATTCAAATCCAGGTCAATCCATGCCCCTTGTGAGCCCTCTCCCTGCTTGCAACAATAGGGCCTTCGTTCATTACAGATGGACAGTGAAATGAATGAAGTTCAGCATATGGACCTTTTCAGCCAAGTCAATGGACAATGACAGTGTTAAGGATAGCAGCAGATTCACAGTGAAAGAAAATAATGGAATCAAGAGCATCAATATACTACTGAAGTTAACCTACAAGACGACAGCCAACAAATTAAAAATCTAAGTATCATAATGGTAAACTATCCTCCGGGAAAGATTACCTAGATAATGACAACCGCGATCTTAAATTTACTCTATGTTCACATTGTTGAACAGATTGTAAATAAAAAAAAAATTAGTTTGATATTGAAATTATAATTTAATTATTAAAAAAATCAATCCACAATCTCTAAATTGATATCAAAAATGGTACAAAAACTGTTTTACGTTTTGATTTCAACATGCCCTTATTTGTTTTAAATCCAGTCTCTTAAATTTCGTTTTGTTCATTTTATGAGTTCTTATTCACGAAGTCTTTGTAAGTCTATGTATTTATTCGCTCAGGCGGCGGTTTCGTATATAGATGTATTGAGAGGAAGAGGAAAGGATATAGAGAGAAATGTTATTTGTCAGAGTGCATCTGAGTGTCTGCAGGAGATAAGGCAGCCTGGCAGAAGTTAGAGGAAGTGCAGAGACGTCACCTGCAGTTTATGTTTTGCATTTCCAGTCCCAGTTGGATGTACGTTTTGCGGTGGTTGGCAGCAATGCTAGCATTCGATTTCTGAAAGGAAGAATATATACTTGGATGAAAGAAAAGCATACATACACACTCATATAGTACGTAGAGATACGTGCATGCTCTCATACAAAGTTCGAACAACTTTACGGTTCATTTCATTCCAATCTCTCTCATCGTGGTTTACAATGCAAAAAGAAAAAAGGTCCAATTGATTTATTTCAATATATATATCAAATAATTATATTTATGAAATCGAACACTAATGTAATTGCAAATAAAACTATTGACTATCAAACTATAATAAGTATGTCCAATCATATTTGAGACAATACTTTATATCAATTGAAGTCAAAACACTAGAATCTAGACTCTCAATTATAATAAATAAATGGTGTTTAATTAAAATTTCTTGTGCATTAAGATTGTGGGCGGTTTAGGGAAGTGGTGCGGAGTCCTTGAATGGATTAAAAGAGATTTAAGTGTGTGAACTGCTTGATTAAAAGGGAACGGAGAAATCGTAAATTGCGAAAGGTAAAAACCGACTGCTGCCTTTAATTCGTTTTAATCCCTGTAACTATCAGCAGTCGGCAGTAAATTTAGCGTGAGACTTTTGTGCAACCCTCTCCTCTTGCTCCAAACGCGCGGCATTTTTATGTAATCTCACTCAATCTAACCAATGCATCTGGTTTTTCATTTGATTATATAAACAAATATTTAAAAAAAAAGTTACACAAACAAATATTTGGTACTTGAAAAGATTGTTTTTACTTTAATTTTTCTTCTTTTTTTTATATATCATGAGCAGAAAAGTTTTGGGTAGCCGCAAATCGATATCGCCGCTGCCGTCGTCGTTGCCGCCCCCTGACGACGGTTTATTCCGGCCACTTTATTCCTGACACGTTCTGCAAATGCATCACGCGGACAAGGAAATCAACTTGCAGGCATGTCTCTGCGACGACAAAACCTTGCCGTCCCCGCCTCCCGGATTCACCGAAAATTTCCTAATAATTTTGCAACAAGTTCATGCCCCAAACGGTTTATTAAAACTCGTCCCTTTGTATGCGTCTCGCTCCCCCGTCCATGTCGTTAGGGAAATCCGGTCTAATATGATAAGGGTAGACGACACATACATGTACCCCATCTATCCATCCAACGGACGGGAAAGTAAAGCACTGCTAATAAACAATATTCTCGTCATTCCTGCTTACTACTATCGAAGCTAAGCCGACTTAAAGTTGAACCAGTAAAACCGCATCTGAGAACTTTGTTAAATCCAATCTACGCTAATACTGGAACCTTATTGATATTTATTATATTACCCGACATATTGTATTAAGTTTCACTCATCTCAATAGTATTTCAATTATATTTACTTCTATATCCCTTATCAGACATGGATACCAATATACACGTATTACAATTAATTAATTAGATTAGGTTTTGTTAACTTTTAACTTAAAAGATTGCACATTATAAAAACCGGGGTAAATAACCCAAAATGAGGTAAAAATGATTTTTTCTAATTTCATCTTTCCAAACTCAGAGAGCGGTTCTC